TTAAGAGAAAACCAGGTCGGAACAGTGTGTACAATCAGCCAGAGCCCGAGCGGTGATTTCCCAAAATACCCTTGATTATGTTATGAGAACGAGTTATTCCTGAGTTGTTAGAACTGTATGCTAGATAGTAGGCTAGGTATCTCCATGAGTATAAGTTAAAGTTGCCTGATTTGTGATGTCTTAGCCTCTGAGGTCGTTTCTTTGATTGAACCCATCCTTGCTAATTGCTCTAGGTATGCTGCTGTAACGAATGGTTCTTGGTTTGTATCTAACTTATAAATTATTCATTTTTATAGAGAAAATCGACGAGTTGGAGGACCCAGACTCGTCGAGTAGAGATGTTTTGGATCGTGCGTTTTGGTGACCAACTCGACGATATCAACTTGACGAGTTGGCTGAGTAAAATCAAATCCTAATTTCAGGGTTTTGCACCCTATTTAAACACATTAAACCTTTCATGCTGGCTTTATTTCCCTACCTCCACTGTCCTAACCCTAAATATCGAATTAGGTGTCTAAGCCTATAACTATAATTGATATGTACTTGAATTGATAGTAACAATGTCCTTTTGGGTTGCCTTCAAACCTGACAATTGAATATAATAACTGTTAGAGATAGAAAAATGATTTATTAATTTATTACTTGGTTTATAAATTAATTAGAAATCAAAATAAATGATTTATTAATGTATTATGGAAATAATATATTAATTAGAAATCATATTATTAATTAAGATTTAATCATAAGTTAATTTGGAATTAATTTTGGGATTAAAGGAATTAATTGAAATTGCAGGGACTAAAGGTGACAATGTTTAATAGTTGAGCATTGAGCATTCTAGAACCTCCCTAAAAGGGAAGAACGAATTCTAGGATGTTCCTAGGGTTTCCTTGGGCTCTAAGGGTGCCTTGGATACCTTAGGGAGGAAGTTAAGGGATTATGGTTATCTTAGATACACTCGCCTAATCCAATACCTTCCTAACACTTATATAAACCCTACTAAAGGTTAAATTTCAGCTAACCCTTGATTCTAAGTGCATTTGGCTGAAATTTTGACCTACCTTTCTCACTCCATAGTATTCTTTGGTTTGTTTGTGAGCCATTAGAGGCGCGACACTTGTGGCGCTTGCTACTGAAGATCTTTTCAAGCAAGGTTTTTAGATTGTTATTACAATATAACAATCAATGTATGTATTTTAATCTTTATTATGTGAATTTCGATTATAACACATAGAACCTAGGGTTTTGTCTTTGTGTTTAAAATTTGCATGTTCAATTCGAGAAAACTTAGATCCAATCAATTTAGGGTTGCATGCAGACATATGATTGTATGTTTTGATCAAAACCCATCAGTGTCAGACCCCTATCTATTGGGGAGAGGTCGGACATAGAGGTAGTGCTCAGGATGTCAGATCTTATCCAACATGTTAGACACAGGTTGTTGACTGCCCAAAGTTGTTAGAAAAGTTACGCAGACTGGCGGCGTTCCGAGCTAGAATTTCAGGTCGGCGACTTTGTCCTCCTGAAGGTATCACCATGGAAGGGTGTGATCCGATTCAGGAAGCGTGGTAAGTTGGGCCATAGATTCATTGGTCCTTTCAGGATGGTTGCTCGAGTGGGTAAGGTAGCTTATCGGTTAAAGCTGCCTGAGAAGTCGAGTTAGTGCGTATGTGCGAATGTTTAATTGTATGTTGCCGAGTGTATCAATTCCAACCGCGCTCTCCAAAATATCATTTAAATTAGGGTAATTAAGTGACTTTTCTAACCATAAAGAGTAAGATTTCGATCTTAACAACCTTGCCATAAATAATTGAAAACCATAAATTCTACATTATGATTGTTAGAAAAGTTAGTCCGTTTCTATTATCAGTAGAATTTATTTATGCGGAAAAGTCCCAATATTTTGGAATTTTTTTTGATAAAGTCCTAAAAGTTTTTTTTGAACAGACCAATCCCATTATTTTGAGAAAATTACATAATCTGTCATTTCCTGTTCAAATATAAAAAATAACTTTTTCGTTAATTTGGGTAAAATATTAAATAATCGAGACTTTTCTGTTAAAAAAAACGTTAATAATTTTATTAAAATTTTTCCCAAAATAATGAGACTTTTCTGCATAAAACCCTTAAAATAAAATCCTAAGTATGAATTTAGGCTTTTAGAGGGACCAATTTCGGACATAAGCTAAAGTTTAGGGGGTTGAACAATAGCATCGTGAATGATATCCAAATAAACCAAAAGCTTAGCGAGATGGTTCTCCTCTTGCCCGCAGAGGTGAAGCCAACAAGTTCCGTCGTCGGCCGTTCTATGATTTCTTATTCTTCGTAGCAAGCTCATCTAAACGAATTCTGGGTTCGCAATCATGGCTTCTCTTCTTCTTTCGAACCCGATTGTCTCATCTTCTTTCCTCGGCAAGAATCTGTAAGTTCTTAAACGCCTTATCCACTCGTAATTTACAAAATTATGGTTTCGATTGACAGGATGTTCTGTAAGTCTTAAGCTAGTAGCTCGATTTTGTTTCTTTTTTGTACTTTGATTGATTCTAATTTGATGATAGCATGATGAAAATCGGTATGGTTCTAGATACTCGTTCCTTTTATAATTCGTGTGCTTTCGATCTTCCAGTTCATTTAACGGGAATATAAGGAAGTCGACACTATCCGCTTTGGTGTTTAGAAGCCCTAGATGTGCTGCTGCTGATGCAACATATGGAGGTACCCAACCTAACTTAAATTTCTTATTGCTAACACAATATTTAACCTAATTTGTGTACTTTGTGGATTTAGCTGTTAATTTCTCTCCTAAGTTCTGAATATATGCAAACCAATTGCTCCGGATGCTTATGTGATTTGTTCAAATGATGCATGATCTCCATAATTCCATTCTCGTAATGTTATAATGAGAAGATCGATATCTTTGCTGTTTGGTTTTAGGTAACACTCCAAAATACCCTCGCAGTAATGTTTGGGATCCTTACAAGCGTCTTGGTATAACTACTGATGCTTCTGAAGAAGAAGTCTGGAGTTCTCGCAACTTTCTTTTAGATCAATATGGCAGCCATGAGAGAAGTGCAGAGTCAATAGAAGCTGCTTTTGAGAAGATACTTATGACAAGCTTTCAGAACAGAAAGAAAACTAAAATCAACTTAAAAACCAGGCTAAAGAAGAAAGTAGAGGAGTCTCCACCTTGGGTTCAGAACTTACTTGCTTTTGTAGAACTTCCTCCCACTATCATTATTCTTAGAAGATTGTTTCTATTTTCATTCATGGCGTTTTGGAGTGTGATGAATTCTGCAGAGGGTGGGCCCGCATTCCAGGTTTGTTGCTCTAATTATAATTCTTTTTGCCTTTTTCTTATCAACTTAAAAAGAAACAACACATTTATAATATCTTGATTTTTGTGTTTAGTAATCTTTAATATAATTCGATCTTTTATGTAATACAGGTGGCATTGTCTCTGTTTGCTTGCATATACTTCCTGAATGACAAGTCAAAGAGCATAGGAAGGGCATGTCTTATTGGGTGAGCTTTTTATGAAATCTGTTTATTCATTTTAGAATGGTTATATCCAGTTAATTGTTGATTTGACTGGTTGTTGACTTTGATTACAGGTTTGGGTCCCTTGTGGTTGGGTGGATTTGTGGTTCTTGTGTGGTGCCTATAATTCCTGCAGCCATTTTGCAACCAACATGGACACTTGAGCTTCTGACTTCACTGGTTGTATACATCTTTCTGTTTGTTGGGTGTACCTTTCTTAAGTGAAACCCTTTATTGTCCTAGATTGCATGTTTCTTTCCAAAAGAAGATCAGTTGTGATTTACTTATGTTGATCTTGTGTGTTCTTATAACTGCATGTTGGCATATGAATCTTTGGTGGACTCTTGAGTTGCAATTTTTGTTAGGTTAATTTACACTACAGCTAAATGTACCTTAAGTCATTCATCTATTTCAGTGTACTATGATTTTAACAAATATCACCCAGTCAGATTCCTGTGTAATTTTGATTGCAAAACTAACGTGTCTAAGAATATATAATTCGTTTTTAGCTTTTTAAAGAAGTTTTTGTCAAATTGGTTAACCATGTAAACATATGAACTTAAATTGTTTGACCATGTATACATATGGACCTAAGAAGATTTACCGGATGTTTGGTTGTTTTCTTTTAAAATAATTATTGACAGACTAAACTACAGTTTTTGTCCGCATGGTTATGTGAAAGTCCCCTACTTCAATGGGATAAAGTCATGTAGCAACTAATATTCAGTTTGTTCTTTGAGTCACTAATATTTTAACTATATTCAATAAGCCAATAGATTTGTTAGGATTCTCATTACACCATTTTAATGGATTTCAGTTGGCTAGTAATTCCGACTTATTGGATGTCACAATGGAAGTTAAAAAACAAGACACAAAACAAATTTACCCATTTGATATCTAATTCAACGGTACAACGAAAAGCAAAACTTTTGTTTCCAGCGTATAAATTTATATATATTTTTTGTCTCTAACAAAACTTGAATCCTTAACCTTTAGCTAATGAAATATTTCCTCAAATTTGATATCTTTAAGCTATAACCTTTTGGTAGCTTTTCATTTATATATAACAAATTAAAATAATAAAATAGTATTAAATCAGAAAGCCTATATTTGAGATTTTTGTTAAAACTTAAAACTTAAGTTCTTTTTAAAAGTTGTTATGAATCGTACGGATAATAAGTATTTTAATTTCTGGAAAATATATTATTTTAGGAAATTATCTTGTTTTAGTTTTTAAATTTGGTAATTAGGATCATTTAGTATTTGAGTCGATTTGGGTGATCTTTGTTTCCTTATTACAGTCCTTTGGTTATCCCTATTTAAAGAGTAACCGTTCATAAAATAAAATTATGTTTGAAGTCACTTATTTTTAATATCTTAGAATAGTTTAACCTAGTCTCATCTCAATAGGAAATTACGTGTTAGTAATACTCACGGCTGTAGGAAGTACAACAGGTCCTGTCATGAGATCTAGATCCCGGGCCATAACAAATTTGGTATCAGAGCCACTCGTGATGGCGACTCCTGCAGAAGAGTTGATGAAAAATTTGGAGGAATTCATGATTCAACAGGAACAGAGCAATAACGAGATTAAAGGGGCGATTGTAGACTTACAAGCTAAATATGTGTCCTTGGAAGAAGGCTTGTCAAAGCAGACAAATTCTAAAAACAGATCAAAAGCTAGCATGGAGGAAAAAGGTGAACAACAATTTGAAGACAACAACGAACCTAGCCCGGGTAGAGGTAAGGGTATTAATTTGGGCGCACAAGAAGGAAGGGGATTCATATCTTCAACGAGGGTAGGACGAGGACGAGGAGAGTTTGGGATAAACCCTAACAATGCAGGGAAGGGGTTTGGAATAAACCTTAACGACACAGGGAAGGCACATGAATCAGAATCATGGAGGATTACTTACCAACCGAAGTTTAAATATAAGTGGGATCCTTTAAAAGGTGAAGCGTCAACACATAATCGAAAAGTTGATCAAGACCCTATGTATCAAAGGAGGACAAAACCCGAACAGGGGTTCAAAATATGGTACGAAACTGATGAAGCCAATGGGTATAAAGCAACTAGGGTGCCGAAATTTACAAAGATGGAGTTTCCAACTTATGATGGCAAGGACGACCCCCTGTCTTGGCTACAGATTTGCAAAGATTTCTTTGAAGAACAACAAACTCCAACTAAAGCATGGGTTCGTCGGGAAACCTTTGTTCTTTAAGGCAAGGCAAGCGACTAGTATTGGAATTTGAGACGATGAAAGGGCGGCCAACCTAGAACGAGTTTGTGGAGGAGTGAAAAATTCGTTTTGGGCCTCCGATGAGTATGAACTCGCTAGGAGAACCAACGCAACTTAGACAAACCAGCATGGTGGAAGACGATTATGCAAGTTTTAAGTCTCTATTAGGAAGAACGATTGGAGTAACTCCAGAACAAAGCATGTGACACTTTTGTGCGGGGCTAATAAACGTGATAAGATATGAGGTTGAATTTGCGAGACCAATAACTCTATACTATGCCATGAATCAAGCGAGACAAATTGAGCTAAGGGTGGCCGAAGTAGGACAACCAATAGGGGTCGGGCCTGCAGGAAACCAAACCTCGGCTGGAAGCCAAAATCGAGTCTGCAGGAAAAGGGGGAGCTGGAAACTACAAAAATGAAACACTAAATCCGGCCTGGAAAAAACTAACGACTGTAGAAATGACAAAGAGGCGGGCAAAAGGCTTGTGCTTCAATTGTGATGAAATATTCTCGATTGGGCATAAATGTGCCAAGCTCTTTTGCATCATGATGGACAATGAGGAAGATGATGCTAATGGGTGACTATTGAGCTTGAGGACAAACTCAATGCGTAGGAGGGGAGTAATGTTATGAATCATACAAATAATAAGTATTTTAATTTTTGGAAAGTATCTTATTTTAGGTAATAATCTTGTTTCAGTTTTTAAATTTGGTAATTAGGATCATTTAGTATTTGAGTCGATTTGGGTGATCTTTGTTTCCTTATTAGAATCCTTTATTTATCCCTATTTAAAGGGTAGTCGTTCATGAAATAAAATTATGCTTGAAGTCAATTGTTTTTAATATCTTAGAATAGTTTAACCTAGTCTCTTCTCAATAAGAGATTAGGTGTTAGTAATACTCACGGCTGTAGGAAGCACAACAGGTCCTGTCACGAGATCTAGATCTCGGGTCATAACAAAAGCTTGTTATCAAACATAGAAGTTTTCATGTGCAAACCAAAGATTACAACATGCTTCATTACAGACATTTAGTTTGAAGATCCAGTGAAATTAATGAGATCTAACATCCTCCTTAATAAATGATGTTTTTTGCCACATATCAATCTCTTATGAGTTTTGACACTTGTAATTTTGTAGTATTTTTGAAATAAATATTATCCACTTGTCAATTTTTGATTTGTTTCAATTTTTAAAATTAAAGTCATCTACTTATATATGTAAAGTATTAAAGATTATATATATAATATTAAATTGCAATAGATACGTTTCTTCCTTTATTATTTTAAAAGTTTTCCATTAAAAAATATTTTTTGTTTACAATTTAATTAAATTTTTAATCTTTTTTAAATCAATTCGTGTAATACACGGGTCTCACATATAGTTAATAATAATCACTAAAAAGGTATTTGATTTTAGTACCTTTGTAACACCCCGATTCTCAGGTATTATCTAAATATGAGTTATTGGGTTAAGCCCAACTCGATGAGTTGGTTGATCTACTCGTCGAGTAGCAGCGAGAAGGATCGCGGGTTAAGAAACCTACTCAACGAGTCCATATTGGGACTTGGAGAGTAGGAGCTGGTAGCTGAAACCCTAAATCCCAGGGTTGTGCACCCCATTTAAGGGAGCACAAACCTCTTTCAGCCTCCTTGCAGTCTCTTAACAAACCCTAATACGTGTGTGTACCCATTGTGTGTTTGAAGCCTTGGAAGAGGATTTTGGTGAAAAGAGCTTGGGAAGCAAGTGGTTTGAAGCAAGGAGCTTGGGGAAAATCCAGATCTACTCCAGTTGTCATCTCTTGGGAAGGTATCAAGCTGTTATCCTCCTTTCTACTTTGTTCTAGACCTCCTTGGTTGGATATTAGGGTTCTTGGTTGGGTTATAAAGTCATTGCCTGGAGTATGAGCCAAGATCTGAAGTTGTAACTTCAGATATGAACTCTTTATGGATTGAAGGACCATAAAGTTCTTAGCTTTGGCAAGTTTGAGCCCCTCCCTAAGTGTAAAACCCCATTTCAAGCATAGTTTGGGCTTTTTGAGACATTGGAGCCTTGCATGCACGTAAAGTTTGCAACTTTACGTGATAAGCAGGCCTAAGGAAGCTGGATCTACAATTTGGGGCCTTGCCATGGCTTAAAAGTTGTCTGCATGATAAAATAACTACAGGGACTCGAAAAGTCGCAAAGCCGACTCGGCAAGTCACATGAGGGCATGCATTAGACTCGACGAGTTGGACGAACGACTCGGTGAGTCCGATGAAGATTGCCATAAGACTCAACGAGTTGAAGAACAACTCAGCGAGTCAGATGAGTTTTAACCAGGACACGTTAGCATGTATACTCGTCAAGTTACAAGGAGGGAACTCGACGGGTGGCCTTAAGGTTTGATCAAGATTCGAAGGAACTCGACGAGTCACCCCGATGACTCAGCGAGTTGGATGTGCTTCAAAGGACTCGACGAGTAGCCGGGTAAACTCGGCGAGTTGAGGTCAACATGGACTGTTGACCTTGACTAAGGACTTTGACCTTGATCAAGGTTAGCTATTCTGTGAGGACAGAGACTTATGAGCATGTCATATTATGGTAATAGGTGGTGGAGTCTTTGTCAAGTGATCGGAGAGCTTTGATTATTTACCGAGCCGACATCTATGAGGTGAGTTATCCTCACTATACTAAAGGGTCTAAGGCACCAAGGCCGACCCCTTTGAATATGTTATCCTAGTAGTGTTAAATGTTGAGTATGAGTTAGTGTTGCATGCTAGTTGTTATGCCAGTTAGGTAGACTTGTAGGACTACCTGTGATGTTATATGATTATTGCATGCTCAGTAGTTATGTTATATGTTATGTGGGTTGGGTTGAAGTTGTACTGCTCTATGCGGTAGCCAACAAACCCTAGAGTATTCCAGATATGAGCTGAGGGCCCGGTAGGCATTCCAGACTCATACTGAGGACTCGAGAGTATTCCAAATATGAGCTGAGGGCCCGATAGGCATTCCAGACTCATACTGAGGACTCGGGAGCATTCCAGATACGAGCTGAGGGCCCGGTAGGCATTCTAGACTCGTACTGAGGGCTCGATGGCATCCCAGATACAAGCTGAGGGCCTAATAGACATTCCAGACTCGTACTGAGGGGGCCCGCTTGTAAAGCTGTAGACCTAGTATATGCTGTTCTGTTTTATTGATATGATGTGCTAATGTTGATATTGCTATGTGGACTGTATGTGTATCGGTATTTTAGGGGTAACTGACTAAGCTTTCGAGCTTACAGTTTCAACTTATTGTTTCAGGTACATCAGAGGATCGCGACAAGGCGAAGACGTGATCGTATAGCTCCTCCTATTATATTTATGTTTCTGGGAAAAACTCTGATAAACAATATTTTGAAAACAAAGTTGTAATGTTTTGATGAATTGATATGTTTAAAAAGTTTAAATTGGTTTGAAGTTTTTGGATGTTACAACCTTGGTTTCTTTTTTATTGTACTATACAACTATATTCTCTGTGATTAATTTCTTTTTTCTAAAAATTTCTTTTTATTTTAGAAAAAAATAAGCTTATAGAAGTTTTCATACGCAAAAGAATACTAGAGTTTTACATTATCTTACAGTGATTAATTTCTCTTTCTTAGAAAAAAGAATGACAAGTTTGATGTTAATACCTTCGTTTCTTTTTTCTAGAGAAGAGAAGTTAATCATTGTAAGAGAGAATGTAAAACTCTGGATTGCATATAAAAACTTTTATAAGCTCTTTATTTCAAAATTAATTATATATGATATTGAGAGGGTGTTTGTGATTTTATTTTGATTTTTAAAAGGACTTTTAAACAAAATGACTTATTGACTTATGGTGGTAAAAAAGAAGTATTTAGAAAAGCGTTTGAATTAGATTTTGTGGTGGAAAAAGTCAATAAATTATTAAGTTATTTTTAAAAAAAAATATTTGTCTTAGCTTAATGGTATTTTAAGGTAATATTGATTTTTACAACTCAAAAAGTCATACGGAATTTAGTCAAATTAAAAATTCTTACTTCTTAAAATCTCATTTTTAAAGGGTCAATGAGAAACTCTTTTAAAAGTCTTTTTCATTTTGCTAAAGAATTTTTATTACTTATTTAAAAAAAATCAATAAGTCAATAAGTTGTTTTGAGATTTAAAATCCCAAACACCCACTAAATAATAATCATAATTTGATAAACATTTATAATTAAAAAAATTATAAACAATAATACATTCTTTCAATATTTCTATATAAAATTAATGGAAAGCTTATAAAAATCCAACATATTTTTATCACATGTTTAAAAAAACCACTATATTATTTTGTAGTACATTAAAACCCTTATATATTCTCAAAATGTTATTTAAGTTTTTTTGACATTAGAAAAAATCAATTTATTTTCATCTAAACATTAAAAAAAGACAATATATTTTTTTTAGCACATCAAAACCTTTATATTTTATGAAAAATTTTAATCTAATGGATTGTAACCATCAGACCGTTGAGAATTGATTACGTAATATTTTTTGCTATCTAAGATTTACCGAATTCAAAACCTTAAAGTAGACATTTTAAAAAATATAAGTATTTTAACATAAAAAAAGTATGATAAAATATGGTTTTCTAAGGTTGCCTAAAATTAAATAGAGTAAATTACACGAATGGTCCTTAGGGTTTGGGGTAATTTGCACGTTTGGTCCCTAACTTATTTTTTTAACTCGGAAGGTCCCTACTGTTTGTTTTTGTTACACGTTTGGTCCCTTCTATTTGTTTTTGTTACACGCTTGGTCCCTGTCTTACCTAAAAAAATTATTATTTTAATATGGAAAAATGATAATATAGGTAGGGTAAGGTGAGGGGAGTGGGGTTGAGAGTGTGTTTATTTAAATAAATTAAAAAAATTAAGGGCAAAATAGTCTTTTTAGGTAAGATAGGGACCAATCGTGTAACAAAAACAAACGATAGAGACCTTCCGAGTTAAAAAAATAAATTAGGAACCAAACGTGCAAATTACCCTAAACCATAAGGACCATTCGTGTAATTTACTCAATTAAATAATAAAATCAGATACAATCTTAATAAAAAACAAAACTATTTCCACGTGAGTGGGAGAGTATTTTATACAGGTTGGTTCGCTTTTGGCTTTTCAGACCCAAGATCGCCACCTAACAACTAACACCAAAAGCCGTTAAGACTTAAAAAAACACTCTTGCGATCGCCGCCCCCAACGGCGGACTTCCCCTATTCATCCTCCATTGATATACTCATATACCCATCCTTCCTGCTTCCCTACACCATTTCTCGATTCTCTCACTTTCTCTAGACTTCCAGCTTCTTACAATGGCATTAGCACCTCACGCCACCTCACTCTCAAAATCCTTCTTCTCTTCCAAACCCTCAATATCGTCATCATCAACCACTCCGCTTGTTAACCTACCGAACACCTCCCATAAATCTCGTCGGCAGTTCGTTGTTCGCAACTCCGTTACGATTGCTCAGTCACCGTCCATTTCGTCGACTAAATCATCCACTGTCAAATCGGTGAAGGCGAGGCAGATCATTGACAGCAGGGGAAATCCGACGGTGGAGGTTGATCTTGTTACTGATGATCTTTACCGATCAGCTGTCCCTAGTGGAGCATCCACTGGAATTTACGAGGCGTTGGAGCTCAGAGACGGTGATAAGAACGTCTATGGTGGCAAAGGAGTTCTTAATGCTGTTAAGAATATCAACGAGGTTTTGGGACCGAAGCTCATCGGTGTTGATGTCAGGTGAGAGTTTATTTCTCACATGCTCTTTACAGTGTACATATAGCTCTAAAAACCGATTAATTCCTCAAATTTGCAAATTCTGTGATCAATTGCGTTGTTATTCGATTTGTTTTGCCCTAATTAAGCTTCCTTTTACTAAAGTTGAGATCATTGAAGTTTCTCTCCATTTTTTCTACATCAAGGAATCAAGCTGATTTTGATGCCATCATGCTAGAGATCGATGGAACTCCAAATAAGTCTAACCTTGGAGCTAATGCGATCCTTGGAGTTTCTCTTAGTGTATGTCGAGCTGGTGCAGGAGCAAAAGGTATACCTTTGTACAAGCACATTCAGGAGATATCAGGAACGAAAGAGCTTGTTATGCCAGTTCCAGCATTCAATGTCATTAATGGAGGCAGCCATGCTGGAAATAATCTAGCAATGCAAGAATTCATGATACTTCCAGTAGGTGCATCTTCATTTGCTGAAGCTCTGCAAATGGGTAGTGAAGGTCAGCATATTCCCAAAAACAAATATTTATACAGTATTATTTGTATATTAACGCATGAATGTGAATACAGTTTATCACACACTGAAGGGAATCATCAAAGCAAAGTATGGACAAGATGCATGCAATGTTGGAGATGAAGGTGGATTTGCTCCCAATGTTCAGGATAACAGGGAAGGACTCGTGTTGCTCATTGATGCAATTGAAAAAGCTGGTTACACCGGAAAGGTAAATGACATTAATACCCTCCATCTTCCACCTTATTCACCTTTTCTAAAGAAGGAAATTTGCAGATTAAAATAGGGATGGATGTTGCTGCTTCTGAGTTCTTAACAAAAGATGGTAAATATGATCTTGATTTCAAGAACCAACCCAACAATGGAGCTCATGTTCTCACAGCTTCAAAGCTTGGTGATTTATATAGAGAATTTATCAGAGATTTTCCAATTGTATCAATCGAAGACCCCTTTGACCAAGATGATTGGACTTCCTGGAGTTCATTACAGTCTTCAGTTGACATCCAGATTGTTGGCGATGACTTGTTGGTCACAAACCCTAAGAGAATTGCTCAAGGCATTCAGAAAAAGGCCTGCAATTCCCTCCTATTAAAGGCAAGTACAAGACAACAAGAATTACTATAAACTCTCATAAACAAGTTCCTTTTTTATTTTTTTATTTGCTTAAATGGTGGGTTTTTCTTGAATTATTTCAGGTTAACCAGATAGGAACAGTGACTGAATCTATACAAGCAGCTCTTGACTCAAAAGCTGCTGGATGGGGTGTGATGGTTAGTCATAGGAGTGGTGAAACAGAGGACAACTTCATTGCAGATCTTTCGGTTGGATTGGCTAGTGGACAGGTTTCATCTTTTATTTCATTATCTCAATCGCTTTTCTAATATTATTTTTAAATTTTTTGGTTAATCTTTTTGTGTTTTTTAATTGTTTAGATCAAGACAGGCGCCCCTTGTCGAAGCGAGCGATTGGCCAAGTATAACCAGGTATATAATATAGAGCAAAAGTATGTTGTTTTTTTTTTAATAAAAAAAAACTAGGTAACAGGGAGAAATGGTTTTTTTATTTAATCACCACAGACTAAATGTTTTGGTATTTTGTATTTTGATGTATAGCTTTTACAAATCAAAGAAGTTATTGAAGCATATGATCATGGATATAATACAAACTTGTGAATTAATTTGTGATACTAAATTATGTTTTTTTTTTTTTTTTCACTTCAGCTTCTGCGCATTGAAGAGGAACTTGGAAATGTACGTTATGCAGGTGAAGCATTTAGATCTCCATGATCAAGTGGATATAAAACAAACATGTAGTAAAGTAAGTTAATTCACAAGAGATAATTTTTCTTTTTTATTGTAAACTCAACTAGGCTTTTTACCAGACATTTATGAGGTTTGTATTGCCCATAGAAGATTCCATGATTGTTTTGAATAAAGAACATGTTGTGCATATTTTCTACACTTTGTAGCCTGTAAACTATTGTGTTTGCATTGTAGTTTAACATCTTTTGTATTGTGGCCCTCGCCCTTCTGTTGGGAGATATGAGCACAGCCTTTCCTCACATGGTTTTAGCCTAAGTTTGAACCCCATTTCACAACTTTTGGGTCATTCGGAGATATAGGAACTCGATGTTTGACACCAATAAGTAACAAAAGAGCAACGTTTGTTACAGAATCTCTGAAGTTGATTTCAATCGTAGGCTGGATTAAAAGCAAAAGGTGAGGGTGAAATGGGATGAAAATAGTTGGTTTTTTCATGGTATAATAAATGGCAACATATATGAGGAAAAATAAAATGAATGGGCTTATAATAATAGATGGTGAATGGACCACGGACCCCAACAAAATTGAAGAGGAAGTTTGGTAGTACTTCTCCTCTAAATTCAGTGAATAAACTCAGTGAAAGCATTACTCTTAGACCAAAATTCATCAACTCTTTTAAAAAATTGACCATGGAAGATCTTGGATGGTTCTATTTCATTATTGGAGATAAAAGAAGTGGTATGGAGTTGTGGTAACAACAAAGCCCCGTGGCTGGATGGCTTCACTTTCAAATTCATAAAGAAGTTTTGGGATAATCTTAAGTTCCTTTGTTAAAAATTTCGAATCAACAGGGAAGATTAGTAGAGATGTAACGCTTCTTTCATCTTGCTTATTCCAAAATCTAATGATCCATTCTTGAAGGATTATATTTGATTGGTTACATGTATAAAATTCTTTCCAAGATCCATGCTTTACGTTTAAGAGAGGTGATTGGAAAGGTTGTAGGCCCGGAGCAATCGACCTATATTGCAGGTGGAATTATTCTAGATGGCCCATTGGTGCTTAATGAGTTATATACGTGGGGTAAGAAGGTAATGAAAAAGGCGTTGATTTTGATAAAACTTTTGACACTCTTAATTGGAGATTTTTGGACTCTGTCATGGAACAAATGGATTTTAGCATCAAACGATAAAGTTGGATAAAAAGACGTCTCTCATCGGGTAGAGCTTCCGTTTTGGTGAATGGTTCCGTTTCTAAGGAGTTCCTTGTCAAAAGGGGAGTGAGACAATGTGACCCTCTCTCCTCGTTTCTTTTCATATTTGCCATGGAGGGGTTAAATATTGCTATGCTTGTGACAAACATATTTATCAAGGTATTAATCTTCCTAATGGTAATAACCGTCTTTCTCATCTCATGTACGTAGATGATATCATTTTTATAGGTGAATGGTCTGAAATGAAATTTGTAAATCTTAAAGAGTCTTGAGATGTTTATTCTTAGCCTCCAATTTAAAAGTAAATCTACACAAAGAGTAAAGCATATGGTGTTGGAGTTGATAACATCAAGTTAAATCGCCTTGCTAGCATCTTGTCTTGTGAGTCCGTTCAATTCCCCTTTTCCTCTCTTGGGCTCCCTATTGGAGCAAATATGAATTTATCAAAAAATTAGAAACCTATTATAGATAAATTTAATTCAAAACTCTCGAGGTGGAAGGTCAAAAATCTTTCTTTTGGGGGGTGTTTAACCATTGTCAAATCCGTTTTAGGTAGCCTTCCACTTTACTACTTTTCACTCTTTAAAGCTCCGTTAAAAGTGAGTAATACTTTGGAAGGCATTAGAAGAAGACTTCTATGGGGGAGTCAAGATAACGAAAGGAAGATAAATTGGGTCTCTTGGAAAACTATGGTGAGATTGGGCATTGGATGTCTTAGAACTTTAAACTCGACTCTTTTGGCAAAATGGAGATGGAGATTAAAAACCAAGAGGAATAGTCTTTGGTCTCAATGCATTACTTCTTGGCATAGAATCTCTCATATTGATAGCAAGCTGATTGCCAAAGCTACACTTTCCGGCTTATAATTTCAAAATTTGATTTGGAGTTAGAAAAGTAGAATATTGATCTTGATTGCTTGATTGAAACGCGTTTGGGGTTGCAAATACTACTTATTTTTGGAAAGATAAATGGTGTGATAGAGTTGCTCTTAAAGACATGTTCTCAAAATTAACTACAAATGTCTTGTGCAAAATGACAAAATGACTTGCAACATGTGTGCACTAATCATTGTCTACAAGGACAATAATTTGTACGATTATCTTTACTCCTCCATCACACTTAAACGCCAAACACAAATAGTTAGTTACCTATTTTCCCATTAAGACATTCTTTCTACATTAAATTAAAAAAATAAAAATAAAGAAACACCCGTATATATCTTACCAGACTCCATTAATTCATAAACAAACAAACACCTTATACTTAGACCTAACTATACTTTAAACAACTATGCCACAATGGTTTAAAGTTGGTGTCAAATGAAGTAAGCACTAACCACCAATAACAATCCCTACATCCGAATAGGTGGGCCCGCATAGATTCCCTGTCTCATATACAGATCATCTGGTGCATCTATCTCCTCTAGCCATGCATATTCATCTTCTTTTCCATCAATCAACTCATCTCCACTTCCTGTCATTCCAATAAAGAAATCAACAACCATTACAAATTCACAAAACCAAGTAACAGATTATGCTCAACTTACCAAAACTGGAGTAGGGGTAATCTCGGTAATAAGTACATTTCCTTCCGGAATATTCTTCATATGGAGGTGTGAGAATGTCAAGTACAGCACAGGAGGTGATGGCAGTGAAACAATGGAGGTTCCCTCCTGTTTTTGGATACAAAACTGAAGTGCTACATGGTGTTGAAAGGACTTTGTCCACTGCCAACTTTGCTAACCTAACTATTACATGAATTCCATCAACACTTTGCATTTTACACTTGAATTAAATGTTTTAAATATAAGCACAGAAAACGATCTTGTTTTTGTAGACTTAATTATGTGTCATGGAAGGAATAGAATCAGACCTGGAGCTCGAGCAATTTCCTTTGAATCCTTGATGAGTGGTGGCTCAACCCAATCATAACCTTTCACATGCAAAGAACCATAAAGGACCTTGCTAAGAACAGTCATTCCTGGATGATCATGGAGGGGTATAACAGAGGAAGTAGGGAAGCAAAACATGCACATCTGCATTCAAATCATCTTCTTTAAGCATATGCCTGAAATTACTATGAACCAGATTCAAATCTCTAATATCTTTATTCTTTTGAGTAGTCGCATGGGGGGAAAAGTTGGGCTTACTGTAAAACTTTGGCTTTCATTTAGATCTATATATGTTATTGGTTGGGCCCAACGATCTAGTCTATTAAGAGTATTGGGTGTAGAAAAACCATGGCCTCGATCATCCTCTTGGTGTTCATCTCTCAGCCCGACATCAGAAGGACCAATTGTATCTGCAAAATGGTATTGCCCAATCAAATTGCTTACCTGTGTATGCTCATACTGTGTTAACCAATCATACCAGGTTGACTTTACTCATGTAATAGGTTTGAATAAACTTAAATGCAATCTGGAATGATTCAATCTCCCATAATTCCAGAAAGTGATCCAGCCAATGCATTCACAAAACTTCCTTTTCTTTTCGTTTTTCATGTTTCAGTTAGGATATTGTGACTGATAAGTATATAGTACGTCGGCGCGATATTTCTTTAAATGGAAAACCTAGCGCATTTCAAACGTAAAATTGGGTTCAATTTTGCTGCAAATTGTGAACACTAACAGTAGTCTAGTAGAGTATCAAGTTGAGAAGTAATCTCAAACGGGAAAAAGAACAGATAACTTTTCGTAAAACAATTCGAATTTGAGATTCACATCAGCCATACAGTCACAAACTGCACTAAAATCAATTACAGTAAATGCATAAAATGTCCTTAGAAATTGAATTTGTGGAAGAGTACCGAGTATAGAGGAGAGTTCATGGATGAGTTGAGGAGGCGGTGAGGTTGAGGGCGTCAAATTGTTCTTGCAGATGTCGTACACGGCTTGTATCGAGGTTTTAGATGAAGGGGAAGACGATGAAAAACTGTAATTCGCCATTGCAAAGAGTCTTTGGAAGAACATGTTGGTGGAATTAGAGGAGAAGAGGTTTGGAAGGCGAAAATATCTGCTGCTATTCATTGCTGTGGTTTGTGGATTTTGGTGATCCGATAATTTACCGATTTTGGGTGCGAAGATGAGTAGGTCCGATGGAGGAGGTTAACACAATAAGCAGAATGTTTTTATTATTTTTTAATATTTGTAGAATGCTGCAATAATTTAAAGGACAAGAAGTTTGAAGCAGATGGTCAAGTGTTGCGCGATTGATTTATCATGATTGAGTTGGGTTGTCCCTTGGAGGTTGAGATTGCAAATGACCGATCTGTCAGAGTATCGAGGGTTTATCATGATTGTATTCTACAGATGTTCAATGAGCCGTATCCGATTGATTTCGTTCGTATTCTTTTGCGTGAGAACAAGGTTATTATAGGGATGGACTAGTTAAGCCCCAACGAGGTAGTGATTGATTGCGAGCATCACATGGTACGCATTTGGACCCCAAGTGGGGTGAGTTAGTGGTTCAGCGAGAGAGAGCTTAGCGAGGGCCGATTCTATGCTCAACAGCTAGGGCCAGTCGCAATCTCCATCAGGTTGTTCCGATTATGTCGCATATGTTATGGATACCTGAGAGAAAGGTAAGGTGACCGTAGATGATGTGTCGGTTGTACGGGAGTACCCCGATGTGTTTCCGGAGGATTTTACTGGAGGGGCTCGGGAGAGGCAAGTTAAGTTTCAGATTAAATTGGTTCCTGGTATGGCTCCGATAGCCAAATCACCATATTGGTTAGCTCCTCCAGAGATGCATGAGTTGTCTAAACAGATGCAGGAGCTGTTAGACAAGGGGTTCATTCAACCGAGTAATTCGCCCTGGGGAGCACCGATCCTATTTGTGAAGAAGAAGGATGAGTCGCATCAGATTTGCATTGATTACTGGGAGCTGAATAAGATAACGGTGGAGAACCGTTATCCACTCCTGAGGATTGATGATTTGTTTGACCAGCTTCAGGGTGCATCTTGGTTTTCCAAGATTGATCTCTGTTCATGTTATCATCAGATGAAGGTCAGAGAGGACGAGGTGCAGAA